GGCACGAAGAATGGAAAACCCACATTTCCAGTACCTGAACCTGAAAAAAGAGAGTATAAAACAAGACAAAACAAAAGCATGGTAGGCAATGGCAGTACACAGTTACAACGAGCAATAATACCCAATATAGCATCCTCAATGCTTCCGTTGTTTCCGGGGTGTCCCCGCAGCCTTCTTGGACATTTTCCATGATTTTTGAGGAGATCTCGGTGGCAGTGGAAGAGGGGGAGGGGAGGGAGACCCAGTATCTGTATCCAGCTGAGATAGGAAGGAAGTCGCCTCTCTAGGATCCTGAAACGAACAGCGGCACCCACCAGGAGTGGTAAAATGGAGTATAGCAGGATACGCCAGGGTGAATCTGATTCGCTGTCGGAATAAAGTTGAACAGATGTTGTTGAAAGCTTTCCTCTTTTTCGCCACCTCCGCCGAGTAGTCCGCGAAGATTAGTAGATTATGGCCGTCCACCTTCAATGACCTGTCAGCACGGTATGCCTGCAAAATGCGCAGCCTGTCCGCATAGTTAAGGTAGCGCACTATGACTGGTCTGGGCAAGGTGTTTTCCTCCCTGGGTGATCCTAGGCGGTGAGCCCTTTCCACAGTGCAAGGAGATGTAATTCCCAGGGCCTCCGGAATAGAGATTGAGCAAAACTTATCCAGGGTGCCAGGCTTGTACGACTCTGGAAGACCCACAATTATCAAATTGTTGCGTCTAGAGCGATTTTTCAGGTCATCGTTTTTTTCTTGCATAGATTGTGATAGAGTTACATACGTGGAGAGCTGGGATTGTGCCTCCAGGAGATCATCCTCCAAAGAAGAAATGCGGTGTTCTGCCTCTTTTAAGAGATTTAGCTTGTGTGAAAAGATCCTTGCGGAGCTGTATGAGACCATGCTGTATAGCAGTCTCCACCGCAGCAGTGATGGTGGGCTTGAGCAGCCTGGCCACTGCTGCAGCTATTTGGGCATGTGCCAGGTCCTCTATACCCCCATTCTGGGAGGAAGTTGGAGAGGGGCTGCGGCCGCGTGGAGACGAGCGGCCGTCCGCCATTTTGGCCACACAAGGCTCCTGAGAGGACCCCTGCGAACGGGGCTCCGAAGCCAGGAAGCGGTCCATCCCCGTCCACCTGGTCCCCCAGTGCTGTACAGAGGGGGTGAGTAGACGCCCGGGGCTGATTTTATATAAAAGAGGTTGATTGGGGAAGGAGCGCCGGAGCCCCGCTGCTTACTACATGGGCGCCGGAAGCGGAAGTAAGCCAAAACTTTTAAACATCAAGGAACAGCATCCATTGTAAGTGATTTCAGCAGCATTTGAAATAGCTTAAAAACATTTTGACTTTAATATCACTTTAAGCTTCTTAGATTTATATATTTCCAGTGCACTTTTAAATCCCAGTTTTCTAATATCGCTTTACTGCCTTACTTTTTCTACCCCTCCAATCTGATCAGTCTAACTCATATGCTCTAGTCTAAGGATGACTTGGAAATAAACAGAGCCTACAAGTAGCTGATGCTATATAGTATCTCAATCAGTAGATATATGCCCCATGATTAACCCCTTCGTGACGGGAGACGTACACTGTACGTCCAGCCACAAAGGGACCAAATGACTTGTCACGTACACTGTACGTGACGAGTTATTTGCTGCTTTAGAGGGCTGTTAATCGCTGAGAATCAGCTTTTAACATTCATTAATGTATGCCCTTACTACAGAGGCATTCATTAATGAAAGGGTTAACCTTTTTCAGACACCCGATACCTTAATATCGGGTGTCTGAGAGTCAATCAGTCATTTACGAACAGAAACTAAAAACAAGCTCAGTCATGAAGGGGTTAAAAAAAAAAAAATTAGGCAAATACCTAATTACCTGTTCCAGCACCACTCACTCCTGGCTGAAGAGCTCACGAATAGGGATGGGCTGCACGTTCGAGTCGAACCTATGTTCGACTCGAACATAGCATGTTCTAGCGTTTGCCGAACGCCGAACATTATGGGATGTCCGCGGTCTGTTCGACCGCGGGACATGCCACAATGCACTGCACCGTACGAAACGGTAATTGGCTACAGTCTGCGGTCAGGTGCAAGACTGTGCCAATCCGGGCTCATTACAAATATAGAGCCATGATTGGGCAAAGTCACGATGACTCTGCCCAATCATGACTCACAGCTAAGTCCCTGCAGCACACTATATAAGGCTGCTGACACCGCGGCCCTGTGTAGTGTGTTGAAGGAGATTGATAGAGAGAGAGATATAGAGAGATATAGAGCCATACAGATATAGAGAGATAGATAGAGAGATAGAGAGAGAGAGTTAGTAATTGCAGATTTATTGAGATTGATAGAGAGTTATAGAAGAGTTCTGTATATATCAGACTTCTGTATATTTCAGACTTCTGTATATATCAGACTTCTGTGATATTTTTGGGATTATATAATTTTATGTAATAATAAAATAATATATAATTTTATATTCTGTGATTTAGTTCTGTGCTATAGCAGTCTCTCATACTGATACTGATCTATTATAGCAGTCTATTGCAGTATGTCACAAAGACCAAACAGGACAGGCAGACGCTCCCATGCAGCGATA